GGAGTTTGCTTTTATTGCCAGATGCTGTGCTCAGTGCTGAGGACACATAGATGATGTTCTGGTTCCTCCTCTCTCATTGCTGCCAGGCTGGCCCTGCCTCTTTTCTCATCTGCAGTATAGACCTAATGCTAATAAGTTCTACCACTCAGGGTTGTTTTGAAGACTTGATGACATGCCACATATGAAAACCCTATGCAAATGAATTGTGGGCACAGCCTTTCTATGTTATTATCACCGCTCAGCAAGTTACTTTACTTTCTGCAACCTTAGTTGTCTCCATCTGTCAAATGAGAATAAGAATATTTGCTCTGCCTACCTCAGACAGCCATTATATGCTTTAAATGAAGCAATGAATGAGAATGCACTAGAACACTATTGAAATGTCAGCCACTGCTCACCACCTCCTTCTACTGTCTTTGTGCTAAATGAAACTTGAGGACAGGGATCCTACCTGATCCACCTTTGTAAGCCTCTCCTCAGACCAGGTAGAGTGTCTGGCACATGTTAGTGCTCAATAAATCCTAGTTAATTTGAATCCAATGTCACATCTCTTATCACTATGAAGTGAGCAGGGAGGAATTATTTAACCCTGCTTACAGGTGAGGAAATTGAGGCTCAGGGAGGATGAGGGAGGCACGCTGCCAAGAAGGGGTGCATCTAGGATCCCTGATATCTTAGCTTCCAATTCAATGAGTTCTTCACTACCACAACTTGGAATGACCATGTGGGAGATATGACGCAATGACAACAGAAAAAGTTGATATTTTGGGAGCAAACCAGCTGCTGCCTCTCTGGCAGTACTGATTTTTAATAACTTTTCCAAGGTTAATCTGAAACTAGCTCAAGCTCAAGGTATCTGGATAACCTTGGGATTTCTCCACGCATCCAGTCTATTTGTACCCCCTCAGCTTCTATCCCTCACCCCCAACCCCCTCAGAGTGACCTGAATCCATAGAAAAATATTCTCCTTGATTGGGCACACAACTGAGAGGTTGTCAGAGGGGGGAATGGGGAAAGCGATCCCACCCGAGGAGAGATAAGCGACAGAAGCAACAAGTCTGAGATGTCTCATACCGTAATCCACCAGTGGGAACCCCATTCTGGGATCATCTGGGGTGGCTGCCAGGCCCAGGAGCAAACCCCAAAACATTAGGCCAAAGTCTTCACCCTTCTGAATCTTAGTTTCCTCCCCAGCAAATGAGGAGTGTTGTTTGCCGTGTTAGATTTTATGAAGATTAAAAAGAATTTTGAATGGCGAGCAGCTAGGTTAGCACATAGTAGGTATTCAACAGTTGTGTTTCCCCTCTCCCCTTCTTCCCCACTACGCGAGAATTAATCACGCTGGGACTGCTGGCTCCTTCAACCTCCTCAGGGCTGAGGATTTACGAGGCAATACCAAGCAAGCATTTCTGTTTCCTGGGAAGCTTGATGCCGCTGCTGCTGTTTTGAGAGCAAAAATTATTAAAATTGAACTCTCTTCCTGTCATCTAGGTTGGAGTCTCCAGCAGGTCTCTTGTGACCATCCTACATTTTTATGACTCTGGTGGGTTTCATTATAAGCCCTGATTCCTGGAAACTCATCTACCATCCTGACCCTGAGAGCGTTTGATTTGAAACATCAATCACAGTTTAGTGTTGAGCTCCCTGTTTACATGTAACTGCAGACACTCTTGTTGCCAAATCTGAACCGTGGTCTTAGAATGGGGTTTCAGGGAGTCCACAAAGCCCAGAAAAGAATGAATGTTGTCAGCACAATCAAATTGTCTCCTGCCGTCACTACCTTGGGAATGCTATGCCAAGAAACAGCACAGCCCGTGTGGCCCCAGCCCTCTTGCGCACTGGGAGCACTGGCGGGAAGACAAAGTGTCCATATCACCCTGACCACCTGGGAGGGTCAGGGCCCAGACTGAAGGGACAGACCCCTCCAGGAAGAGGCCAGTTGTACAAATTGCCAGATCCAAGGGGTCTGTGCCAATTTCAACCTAGGTTTCCTCAAAATGTTCAGGTTGTTACAGGTTTTATACCTACCACCAAAAACATGTGTGTTCAGTAATCAAATAAGCTTCAAAACGATAAATATGATGTGTCACATCTCTTTACTGAAGTACTTATCAGAACCTTTATTTTTAAAGATTCACTTATTTTTGCATAGAAGAACTGGGTTGTAGGTCAGACATGCAGGGGGTGAGAGGATTCACCACAGACAGAGTGGGGAGCAGAACAGGCAGATCTACTGAAATACACTGCTGAGGGGAGCAACGGGGGAGATAGGCGAGGTCTGCTGACCCATAGGTGGGTTAGCTCCCTGGCCAGGGGACGAACTCATGCTGCAATGGTGATAGCATGAGACTTAACCCCTAGGCTACCAGGGAGGCCACTTCTCAGAACCTTCAATAAGCAAATGGATTTGTGAATCTCCAAGAGAGGGATGTAATACACAAGGCTTCGTCAATTTTTTTAAAACTGCAAATATTTTGTTAAAATGCATTTGATGGGAACAGTGTTCCCTAGAACATATTTGGGGATTGCTGATCCAGGCTGACAATGTCTCTTAGGGGCATGAGGCAGGAGCTTGTAGCTTGTGCTGTCATCAGTATCAGATGAGGCAGTGGAAACTGGGACCCAGACTTTGAGTGGGGAGTGAGCAGACCCAAACATGAATTCAAGCCATCAGTCTATAAACCGGTCTATTTCCAGCAGGAGCTTGGGGTGGTGATAAAGGTGGGGAGAGGAAACAGCAGACCACAGAGATAGGGAGAGACCACTGAACAGTCATCAGCGGAGACAGAAAGCTCTGAATCAATAAGGACACCTTTGGTTGCAAGTGAGAAAACCCCATTCAAATGTAGCTCAGTAAACTTCTGGACCTTATTGGGTTCTTGTCAGTGACGGTTCTTTTGGGTGCACTCTTCAGCCTTTACGCGTGGCTCAGTCAGGTGGTCACATGCTGTCACCTGGATAAGGTGTGTCTCTCTGAAGTCTGGCTTTGCTTCCTCTGGTTGGCTTCATTCTCGTGTCAAGCTGTCTCTTTATGACGGCCCCTGAAAGTTCTCAATTCCACATCCTTCCAACTTCATGTCCAATGCAAACGAAGACCCTCTTCTCCAATAGTGTGTGTGTGTGTGTGTGTGTGTGTGTGATGTGTATGCATGGCACATGCATAAGTAACTGGCCTGACTTGGAGTATGTGCTCATCTCTCAGCCAACAGTGCTAGAGGATGCAATGTACTTACTGGCTTGGCTTTGGCCATGATGCCACCCTTGGATTCTGGATAGCATCTGCTTTGGCCACGGATGCCACCCTTGGAGGCTGGATAGTGTCTACTTCAACTGAAGCACATGGGCTGGGTGAGGGAGGTAACTACCCAAGAGGGAAATTGGGGACTAGTTACAGGAGGATGGATGTCAGGCAGCGGATACAACAAATGTGCATGACAAACTATCTTCCTGCCTGACTCCAGAGGGCAGCAGCTGATCCTCCCATCCAGCCCATGTTGCAGAAGGGGCTTCTCTCTTTCACTTGGTGGCTAGACAAGGGCTGAATCTTCAAATAACAAGAACAAAGTGTCCTGAGGTGAACAAGGGAGGTATAGGTAGGGACTGACCAGAAAAGTGACAGCCCTTCTGGGAGGTTTTGATATTTCCAGATGAAAGACTAGATAACACCCAGACCTAGGAGAACATGACTGAGTACTAGGTCCCTGTCAAAGCCCAGCTCTCAGAAGTCAGGGGACATAGGCTTCCTCCTACTGCCCGCAGTTCACTGATAGAAAACAGACCCAAGGACTCTAAGCCAAATGTCCAGCAAATATTAACTTTATTCAAGGTCATCTTTGTGCCTCCCAAAATATAGGGCTTTCTGACACAAGCCAGATTGGAGAACACAACTGAACTAAGGGTCTAGTAACCCTCAGCCTTAACTTGGTCCTCAGAACCTGCAGTTGAGCAGACCATGAGGACCCCACACAGTCAGACACTGGCTTGCCCCACACACCCAGAGAGAGTGACAAGCCACCCTAAGCCTGGATCCCATTGGATCCCACCCTGGGGTGCTCAGCCATCATGAGAAAGCCAAGGAATGAATCTCCAGGCCAGGGAAGGCCCCAGAAAAAGAGCAAAGGCAGAGTGCGTCACTCACTTCCAAAGTGCATTACTACCCCTTTGAGGCCCACGAAGGTCACCTCCATCCCCCAATCAGATGAGTCAGTTCTCTCCAGCTGAGCAGAATTAAAAAGCGGCAGGGAGAATATGTTCAACCTCAGCATTCCCCGAGAGGGCAGAGGTTTTGGAGGTCTTATACAAGTTCCCTTCTATGACATTGGGCTTTGCAGGGGTGGGGGGGTGGTGCCAAGAAGGAAAACTTCTCCACATCATTGTAAAGAGGTCTGGTTTATTCTCATGAAGCTGCAGTTAATACTCTGCATGTGTGGGCTAAACCCAGGAGAGACTTGGGGCCTGAGTGGATCAGAGGGATTGTTACCCAGAACCACCAAAAAATATGAATTGGAAAGGCATGTGGACACACGCAAAGGCACATGTAAAGAAATGTACATAAGGTTCTATCTAATATCTGTCTATCTATCTATCTATCTATCTATGCATGGATTAGAAGCAATATGACAGCAGGGGCCACTTTCAATGGATTTTCATAACCCTAAAGTTTAGCACAATGTGACAAACAGAGACGGATGGATGGATGGATGGATGGACGGACAGATGGACGGAAGGATGGACGGACAGATCATATCTGCTAGATTTGGTCCCTCCATTCATGCTGCTTCCAGTTACGGCAGAAGACAGACATGGAATTGACTGTAACGCAGCATGATACATGTGCTAAGGGAGCTCTGTGTGAGGAGGGGCCAGTGGGTGCCCAGAGGAAGGAGGGCCTGGGCCTCCATACTGGAGACAGGGAAGACAGCAAAAGGAGGTAATGCTGGAGCCATGGAGACCGGGTGCCACACCCCTGGATCGCACATTCTGTCCAAATGTTCCTTCTGTTCCTGAGTTCCGCCTAAGGATTTCTTCGTCCTCCATCCTATGGCTTCAGTGCAAAGCTGCTCCAGCTGTTGGAAAGTGCTCCTCTAAGCCCCGTGGCCTTTGATTTCCCTAACAGCTGTCTTTTCCAGTTCTTAAGCCAATCGAAGCCAGCATGTTGTCTCATTGAGCGTCTGCGCAGGTTCTGAGCTCATCCCAGTAAGCACAGCGCGCCACCCTTTCGCATTAGGTTTAAGGGCTGCTCCTTGCTTTCTTCCTCACTCATGTTTAAAGTGCTGCTTCTCCTGGGGAGGCCTCCAGGGAGCAAGCTCTAAAGGATTAAGCGAGATAAAACAGGAAAGAGGAATTTAGATGGGAGGTAATTACAATGAAACTGCAATCATAACTTAAAGTCACATTTCTTTGCAGAGAAACCCACATAGTTAATGTTTTCAATGTCTAAGTGAGCGGGGAAATTGGGGCTTTGTACATAGTTCACTTTCCATTTTGTGCCAGTAGGACTGGAACCCTGTGGAGCCCCTAGTGGTCCCCCAGAGGGGGCATTGTCCTACTGGACACACCCTAGGCACCCACATGTGGAAAACCATCTCTCAGGGTGGGTGAGGTACCTGTGCCCCACACAGTATCCTCCTTCACACACTTAATCTCTTCTTGCTTTGAAGCCCTATTCAGAATATTCCCTAGAGAGAAAACCATCCCTGTTTTTAGGAGCTCAGTGACCCAAGACTACTCACCCCTCCTCCTGGCTCCATGGCACCTCAGGGCTGCTGGTCTGTGCTTCTCCCCTGAAGAAGCTTTTCATCCATTGATAGATTCATTCATTCAAGCAAATAATATTTAATATGGGTCAAACACAGCTGTAGGCACAAAGGACATAGTCATTAAAACAGACCAAAATCCATGCCCTCACCACTTCGAAGAGAAAGGAAATAAAAAAGATAAATAAAGTATATAGTATAATGAATAATAAGTGCTAAGAAGGGGAGGAAATGCATGTTAGGAGGTGAAATTTTAGATAAAGTAACTAGAGATGGTGATTCTTGAGAAATAACTGAATGAAGTAAGGAAGGCTGCCATATGGATCAGGGGAAGAGTAAGTCAGGCAGAGGTAACAACCAGTGCAAAAGCCCTGAGGTAGGAGCTTGCCTGGGATATCCAAAGAGCATTGTAGATGAGCAGGGCGGATAACAGGCTAGATCATGTAGGGCCTTGTAATCATGGTAAGGACTTTGGCATTTACTCTGATGTCGTGAAGAACTGCTGAAGGGTTTTGAGCAGAGGAGTGACATCATTTCACAGCATCACTGACCACTTAGCAGGGAATAAACTGAAGAAGCAGCGGTAGACACAAACAAGGAGCTATCCCTTAGGCAGCTATTGCAATAATCTAAGTGATAAAGATAATGATTTAGCCCACAGTGATGGGATGGTAAGGAGTCAGATTCTGAATCTGCTTTGCAGGTGAAGACAACAGAATACAGCCAGAGCAGATATGTAGCATAAGGGAGTCAGGGATAACACCAGAGCTTCTGGTCTGAGCAATGGAAATACAGAGTTTCTAATGTATTTGCTAAGAAGGGAGGCCTGGAGGAGGAACCGGTTAGGGAAGGATCCCCCATGAGGAGCTCAGTTTGGGACAAGCTTGCACATCAAAGTAATATGTTCGTGGGCAGGTGAGTGTGTGCATGTAGATGCTGAGGGAGTGAACTGTATCAAATTTATTTGCAAGCCCTCTACATGTAGGTAGTTTTTACATCGGTGAGACTAGACAAGATTCCCTAGGGATTGAGAAGTGAGTCAAAACAACTTACAGATTGTTACCACTGTGCCTGCACTGTGATGGCTGCTTGACGTACAGAGATAAGATGCCTTCAGGTCCAACAGAGAAGAAAGGAGCATTGTCAGTGGCGGCAGGATCACCGCAGATGGAGGGAGACTTGGGTTAGCAAGAAGGTTAACCTGGACTGGAGCGTGGCTGTCAGGCAAGGCCTTCAATAAGGAGGACCCCTTAGCTTCCCTAAAGACAAGAGGAGCTCTCCAGGCAGAGATGGTGGGAGGATGCACAAGGAAGAAGGAACAGCACATGCAAAGGCAGGAAGTGGGCACAAAGCATGGGGCCGGAGCAGGGGATGGTAAGGTTGGGGAGGGGGAGCAGGGAGGTAGGAGACAGGCCTCAGATACGATGCAGGGAAGTGGGCCTTGACTTGAGGTCTATAGGGTGGGACCCCTGAAAGACTACTCAAGAGAATGTCATCAGTATCTTCACTTTAGTAACAATCAGAATCCTCTGGGACGTGTGACTTGAATCCAGAGTGGTGATGGTGGTCCACGTACTTGTGAAGTACCTCTTTACCAGGGAGATCTCTGTGCCTGTCATAATCATACTTTGCTTAAAACACTTCAGCCAACAACAGAACCATATATGACACGGCCCCAATAGTCTGTACCATCTAGGTTGTGTGATTACTCCCAATGACATTCGTCCATTGATGAAATCACCTAACAGTGCACTCCCTGAATGCACCCCCATCATTAAGCAAAATGTGACTATATCTTGTTCCCGGTACAGTAACTGTCCAGAAGCTTGAGATGTGGCTTACCCAGAGAGGAGCCACGTTCAGACCCCAGGGAAGGGAGAAGACCTCTTCAAATGGATTGATACTGCTGCATCATTTACTATACACCATCCTTTTTACCCCCCAGACACCTCTATCAAGAGAGGTGTGAATATTGCCATGTTCTAGGGTACCCAGGAAAGGCTTAAAGTGTGTATATCAAATCCAAAGTCATTCGGTGCAAATGTGGCAAACCAGGATTCGAACCCAGGCCTGTGGGTGCCTTCCGTAATGAAGCATTTCGTAGCAAACATTTCCCCACCTGGCAACAGCACACAATTTGCAGGGCATCTGATGATTAAACAAATTGGCTAAGTGGTTCTCACGCCTCAGCCACAGTTGCCCTTTCCTTGACATACTGTGGATAGAATTTGAATATTGTCTTTCAAATCAATGCTCATTTTATTAGCAGGAAGCATTTAGAATGAGCCATTACACCATCACGGGAACTTTTATTATTGGCCCTTAATAAATGTTTGATGCTCAAAATGGTTATGAGTCCATAGTGTGGGGATGGTCCCACCCGCTCCCTCCTCTGCTCTCTCTGCCATAAAATTAACGGAGGTATTCGTTAACAGACTTATCATTTATCCTGCTTTTAACTGGCATGATGCCGGAAAAATAAAATAAGCGTATCAGAGGGACTTGGGAAGGCTTTTTAATGATACTGAAGCTAAATTGAAAGAGCAGTCCTTCCCACTGGCTTGTTATCAGGAACCAGGTCTCCAAGCAAGATAGTTAATGACACAGCCAAGACCTGGCACCTGAATTCAAACATATTTATTTGCTTTCTAGAAGAGGAATAATGCATTTAGCTCCCCACGCATTTTTCCCTAGCTGGGGTGATGATATTTAAAGAGGCTTTTATTTGCTCATTTCACTTTTGCCCTGAACAGTTGGTGTATGTGTCTTGTTTGCTGGCGGTGGCCGTGCAGATGATGGGTGCTTTGTCCCTGAGGTGGAGACCTTCCAGGTGAGGACTCAGGAGCTTCCTCCTGCCTAGTGGGGCTAAACAAGCTGGACCACGAGGGGTAACAAGCTGCCAGCACAGTTGTGGTTGTGCTACCATGGACCAGCAGCAGGGCAGGAGTGATGAAGTGAAAGCCATAAGGGGGATGGGAGAAAATGGAGGGTGGGGGACCAAGCACTCTGCAGGACATTAGCATGTAGTCCCAGATCCGGGGAATAACAACAGCTAACATATATTTTTTTAAAGATTTATTGATTTATGCATCCAAGAACTGGGGTACAGGCCAGAGGTACAGGAGGGTGAAGGAATCAACCAGAGACAGAGCTGGGAGCAGAACAGGCAGACGGACTGAAAACACTGCTAAGGGAAGCAGCAGGCGAGACAGGAGAGGTCTGCCGCACCATGTGGGTTACCTCCCTAGTCGGCCAGGATTGAACCCATGCTGCAGAGGCTGCGGACAGCTTCACGGCACTGTAATCAACCCCCTGCACCACCAGCGAGGGCCAACAGCTAACATTTAACTGATGTTCACCATGCATTAGGCACAGGACTGGTTTCCCCGGGTTAGCTCATTGGTGCATACAACAGGTCTATGAGGTTAGTGCTAACATTCTGTCTAGTTTACTCATGAGGAAACACAGTACCAAGTGGTTAAGCAATGTTCCCAGGGTTCAAGCTCTCCCCTAATATTTGTGGGGCCCAGGGCAAGAGTGCCAATGGAGGCCTCCAGGCCACAAATCTAAATATTTAAGTTATTAATCCAGCAATAAATTATTAAATAAAATATATTCTGTCATCCTTGACAAATGTATATGCATACAATTTGGAAAACCCAATTTGAATTCAGAATTCTCATTCTCCTTGGAGTTCTAGATAAGAACCGGGGAGAACAGGAGAACAGTCCCTGGCCCCATAGGTCATTTGTCACTTCCCATCCCCAGCACTCTTAACTATGAGGGTCTCTCACACATGCGTGTGCACATGGACACGCCAGCCCAGACATTCAAGAGCCAGACATTCCACTGCAAGCAGCCACCTCTGGGAGGAGGGGGCCCACAGGGGAGAACTTGCTGGGTCCTGGAAGCCAACTTGGTGTTACTCGGCAGAGAATTCATGGTTGTAGGATCCCAGTGTGTGGTCTAGAATGAGAAGCTGTGGCTTGAGGTGGGAGCACCCAGTGGGCCCCCATTGGGAAGGACAAAGATCAAAGAGGAGTAGAGAGTTGGAGGCTTGGAGAAGCACCCTCTAACACGTGGGGTCCAGCACAGGCCCAGAGGCAAGCTGGTGTTTGAACCTGGACTGTCTGACTTGAGTCCAGATGCTGAACCTCTGAGCTATACTATCTCTCAACAACAAAACATAAAATCCAGGTGGGGAATATAAATTCCTTGACCTGCACAATGTTAGAGCAAGGAGAGAGCTAGGCAAATTGAAAATCATCTAGCCTAACCCTGCCACTCTCACGTTTACTCTCCACCCATTTTACAGATGAGAAAACCAAGGCTCAGAAAGATGGACTTTCTCTAAGTAGTAAGTAGTAAGTAGACAGACCCAAGACAAAAAGCCCAACTACCTATCCAAAGCAGGTCTCCTTCTCCACCCTGCCTTTCCCCACCCCACCCACCAGCTTTCTAGTGAGGACTTGGATGCGGGTCTCCACAGGGGACAGCTTCCTCCTGCGGCTGGCTGCTTGTGCTCTAATGCCGAGGTGGAGATTCCTGCTCCCATCTGTGTCATGCCGCGGAGAGCCATGGGTGGTGTCAGTGCATTCCAATTAGCCTTCTGAATCATATTTGTTGTCTTAAAATATTTATATCCAACCACTTCCCACCTGCTGGAAGAGAATCTTCGCCTCTTCCACATTGCCTCACATCTCCAGCCCAAAGGAGCACTCTCGTCACTTGTTGTTCATGACATCAGGCACCGCCACCAAGCCCCATGCATGGCATTTCCTAATCAGATGTAAGTGGGATGAACGGTGCCATGACCCAGGGCACCCAGGCCCTCTCACTTGGAGCTTATTGCTTCTGACAGCGAATTGCTTTCACCAAGAGAGGCCATTTGCAATTCTATGTGTACCTCTCAGCAGGCTCCACACTTCTGCTTGAGCTTTTAGGATGTTCCCAGCCAATAGCTGCAGGACTTGTCACAGGTAGCCCCGTATACTTTACCTTCTTGGTGGACCAAAGAGGCTGGAGTGTCTTGCTGCAGGGGACAGTGACATTCTTCCGTAATTGATAATCATTATCATCACCATCATCATCATCATCATCATCATTGCATGTACTTGTAACCCACAGGCAGCATAGATTGGTGGGAAAAGTCCAGTCTTAAAGTCAGGGTGTGTGTCTAAGGTCTAGTTCTTAATAGCTGTGCGACCTCAATTCTACTATTTAATTTCTCCAAGTACTAGTTTCCCCATTTGTAAAAATGGGAATGATGAAAGAATTGCAGTAAAGATGAAATCCACTGCAAGACCTGTTCACAGCTTTCCCAGGGGCACACACTCTGTGCTGGGCACTGCCTCCTGAATCCTTTTGATATGTGTAAAGTGCCCAGCAGGGTGCCTGGCACATGGGGATTTTGCAGTTTGAGAGGTAAGGTGGGATGTGGATTAGTGCACATTTTTACAAAGGAAGAAACTGAGGCTTAGGAGAATTCAGTGGCTGCACAAACTCACCCAGCAGATAAGCCACACCTGGGAGGATTGGCCACAGTTTCAGGGGTCTCTCCCTTTATCTTCAGAGAACAGGCATCCAGACATCCCGTCCCTGGAAAGTGAGGCTGAACAGGTGTGTGGGTAGGTGACCACCTGGACCATGCCTTCTCTCCCAGAGATGCTGAAATTGTTCGGTTGAGAGTCCCAGCAAGGGCAACCCCACCAATGCCCAAAATTATGCCAGGGCAAACATCTCCTCTCCAACACATTGCTCCTTGTCATGGATCATAATATGTATTTAGATGCCAAGTCTAAGATTTTGTCAGTATTCATAGCAGTTGTCTCTCTAGGCCTCCAGACTGCCAGCCTGAGTCCCCTCGCCGTGCCCCAGGAAGGGGAGGAGGTGTGGGTGACCATCCTTGAGGGGTAGCAGAAGCCCAGACAGCTGGGTAGAGCTATGACCCTGCTTCCTAACTGCATGAACTTGGGCTAGTCATTTGACTTTCTGATCCTCTGTTGTCCTTTCTGAAGATGATCAAGTGTATTCTCTGACCCAAAATAATCTTTTAACTATTGGGTTATAAATCTGTCTACTCTAATAGCCTGCAAACTCCCTGAGGATATGTTTCACTTCATAATGTAAAAATGTTGACAACCCATAGTCATTTACTCTCCTGGATGAAGAAAAAAATCTCAAACCTATCAGCGACCGACCCCACCATCGTGATGATTTCATCCATAATAACAGCTGTCATGTCTGAAGTGATTGGCATCACGCTCTTCCATCCATGTTCCCTGCATCCTCGTGATGATCCTGCAATATCGGGTTACCCTGCTTTACAGTAAGAACACTGAGGTCTAGAAAGGACAGAGGAATTGTCCCAAGGTCATGCAGACAGTGAGTGATGGAATCAATTGCTCCTGCATCTGTATGATTCTAAACAGGTTCCATAATTTTTCTTCCCCCAACACTGCTGTCATTTTGGGTCTTTAGGCTGCACGGAAGCTGCTTGATGCCAGCTGCTCAGCTCAGGAAGGTTGGAATTGGGACTGACATCCCACTTTTAAAATTCTCTTTGCCTTTTAATAAATAATATGTCACAATTCAGGCAAGCCAGCTGAATAATAATTTGTCAAGCCCGGAGCCCGACTTAGCTTGTTCCCACACTCTTCTTCCTACCTCCTACCTCTCTTTCTCAGTCCAGTCTTCACACATCCTGCTGAGCTCCAGATATTTCTGCCTGGGTGCTGTCATCATTCTCTGAGAACAGACAAACAGTAACTTTTTGTCTTTTCCTGAAGTTTTCCACTGAGTCTACTGTAACAGGCTTTGCCATCGGGCATGGTGGCAGGGTGGTGGGCAAGCTGCTGACACTGAAGAACTCCAAAAGGATTTCACCCAACATACTTCCCCCAGGACTTGGCCCCCTTGGCCTTGGTCTCTATTTTGCAGGGTATAATAGGATTGGACTACAGTGTTATAAATTACCAGCAGGAACTCCCAAGTAATGAATTTGTACCCCAATCACAAAACTTTTAGGTTTAGGTTTTTACAAAATAAAAAGTTCCCTACTTTCCAATGCAATAAATCCAATTTCATGTATAGATCTTCCTCCTCCATCCCCCCGCCCCGAAAAAAAGAACAACTCTTTTAGAAGAACTTTACCTGTGCTAGCTTGTAGGTGCTGTATTTTTTTCCTATATAAAGGTCATGATCATTTCAACTGGCATTCAGAGGGCCCTTCTCAGCTGAGTGAGGAATTTCACCTCTCTCATTTGCTCATCACAGTGCCATGGCAGTGCAGTAAAGGCAAGGAGCAACACACCCATGGTTTGAATGAGAAAACCAAGGCATAAGCAACAGGTGTGATTCTGACTGGAGATCAGCTCTCTGGTGAAGATCGCATTACATATGAATGTTGAAAAATGAGAAACATGCAGAAAAATGGAAGCAGTAATTCAGTTTTATGAAACAGCAAAAGCAAGAGTCAGAGGGCTTGGGAATTCCAGTGGAAATTCACACTGGGTCCTCACTAGCACCCTCCAGCTGCCGAGGTGTTTGTGACCTATTGCCTTAGGGTGTGCTCCCCAGAAGCAGACCCTGGGACAAAGATACATGTGAAGATGACTTATTCGGAAGTGTAGCCAAGAATAGTTAGCAGTGAATAGGGATCTGGGAGACGATCAAGCCAAACAAAATGACTAAACTCAGTCCTATGGGACCATTCTAGAAACAGTGTAGACATTTGGGACTCCCAGCCAGATCCCGGCAGCATCACTGATCACCTAGCAGAAATGTACTATCTCACCCTAGTCCTGATCTCTGAGTCAGCTTCCAGGTCTTGTTACAATGGTCTAGAGTACATGTCAGTTATCCCAATGAACACACAGGGTGCTGGATGTTGACACACCCTGCACCTGTCAGTCATTGGCTTAGGGATGCTCCCAACTGTCCACATGGAGGGTACAGATTGCAGCAGGCAGAGGACAACCCTCCAATGCAGCTTCTGCTCTTGGGGCTGAGCACTGTGGGCCAGAAGCCATGTGCAGGCAAACTGTGAAGGTACTAGGGGTGTGTGAGCACAACGGTGGAGAGTCTGGTCACCCAAGCAACCTGATGCAGCACCAGGTTGTCCACAGACTCTTGTCCACATCCCTTAGCCCAGTACCTATGGGCACAGCAGATCTCAGGAGTCATCCAGGGAGAGGGTGTTGAGGTTGTAAAGAAAGTGTCCCACCGCAATCTCAGCTACTGATCTCCAGATTCATTCTGGGGAGTGTTATTACTTCCTGACACTTACCAAATATTAACAAAGGGTTCTAAGTTGAATTAAGTAGAGTTTCCCCTCTTTAAGTGAACAGATAAAACATCTTTGTAATTAGAACATTAACATGTAAATGGATACCATTAAAGAATTTTCAAATGAGTTAGTTCCATCAAGTAGGTTAAATATTTCCCAGAAACCTAGGGTAAACTCCTTCCCCGTAGACCACTGTGGTGAGCAGTCCTTCTAGAACAAGGACTTCTTTAGGAAAAGGAAAATCATTTTTTCCATTCCATTAAAAAATAACTATAGTGAAACCCACGGCAAAAAAAAGGTGTCCTATTAAAACTTAATTTATCTGTTTCATTGTCCAGGACAATGGCAACTAAAAAAGTTGGCACTGTTTTTGGACCTGTAAAATATGACTATCTGGACACTGATGAGAAATAGCAGCAGAGAAACAGCTTTCCCATTTGTCCTCTTGAAATCAAATCATTTATCATGAAGCCAGGTGGAATGTAGACTTTCTTTATGATAAAGGAGTCTGCTTTTACCTGGCCTTGAATGGGGCATCACAACATCTGAATTAGTGAGCATCTGAAGTGAGGGGGCAGGACCTAAGGCAGCCACGCCTCTCTGTTTCCTCCCATCGAGAGACCACAAGAGATGCAGACAGTCCTCATGTATGTCACCTCACTAGCTAGAGCGGGCGGCATCATCAAGGATGCTCTGCATCCTGCCATTCAGTGCTGGCTGTCTCCTAAAGCCATTTTTCCCATTTGTAGTAGAGTAGTAGAGTGACTACTCGTGATCAGTTCTATAAATGTCCTTGTTCACATTTGCAAGGAGGAAATCATCCCAAAGCTCCCTCTTAAGACAGGAAGCATCTCCTGGAAACTTCTCTTCCTGGCTCATTGGCCAGCGTTGTCTGCTTGCCCTTTCCTGAATCTTTGCTTCATCAAGCCTGCCCCATGGTTCAGTAGACTTGCACGTGCAGAATCAATCCCGGGTTTTGCTACAGTGATCTTATATTCTGTGATGCTGTTTGTCACGTCACCGTGAAACACTTCTTCTTGTCTTGTTTTC